GAATGGCTTATTTTAGTGGAATAACTTAAGACAACAGGGTAACTAGCCTCAGAGGTAACTAACTGTGCACTTCAGAAGAGGTGGCAGACACCTTCACAGCAATAGGCGTGAGAACTTCTGGAAGCCACATCATCACGCTAGCGTTCCCAGTCTTTATAAGCCAAGTCTTGTATGGGATAATTGGCAAAACTTCAAGATTCACTACTAAAGCTATTTTCTACCAAAAAAACAAGAGCGAGAGAGACAGAGACACAGAGAGAGAGAGAGAGAGAGAACAAATGTTTAAAAGATTGTAACATATTACACAGTTGCATTAAGCACAACTGAGCACAACAAAGGTGTGAATAGTCTGCACAAGTCCATCTTTCCAGCATCGCCTTGCTGCAGCTCCCAGGACTGTGGCTAGCCCTCATGCTCTGCAGCGCTGAAGAATAAGACAAAGAGATGGCCACTGAGGATTTTGGAGCTGGGCCACAGGTAAGGGATAAAAACTGACCTTAAGGTCATGCTGATAGAAGTTGGACTTTCTCTTAATTACCCCAAAGCAGTCAAGATCAAAGCATAATAAAAAACATCAGTACATCACGCAAGAGGACTAGAACATCTGGCCAACGGCCACCTCACAACTGCTTGCAAGCTAGAGCTAATCTCTTTGGAAACGTGCAGAAGCATCTAGTATCCATGCTGCAAAGCCCTGTGTTTTTCTGTTGCGTTGGACTGAGTGACCCATGTTCTGTGGAAGCAAAGAGAGCATGAGAAGCAACTGTCTCCCACTGTACTGTAAGAAAGGTTCCCAGCACAAAAGCCTTGCCTCTTTCCTGAGCCTCCATGCTGACTTGCAGGTGTGAGACACGTCTATCCAGTCAGCAGAAGGTAGAGACCACCCTTGGGGCCTGGGCATAGAGATGGGGCCTCTCCAGTAACCTGTGCAGAAGAAAGGAGACTAATCTACTTTAAGATGGAGCTTAATTAAACTTATAGAAAGTACACACAGAAAATAAAATTATGGTTGTAATATGAGTACCTAGGCATACACTGTGATTCTTTCTCCTAGAGATTTGAAAGATGACAATTTGTTTGTGCCACATTTATATCACATGAATCCCAAAACTTTCAACACTTCTGCCAGTATCTCGTAAGACCAAGAATTATTTTCTCCTCTTCTGTTTCCTAAAGGACAAGAAGTCAAGCCTTTTCAGCTTCTTCTGAATCAAGAGACCCCCGATTTATGCAGTTTTAACTATGGCCAGGATGTCTAAACTGCTCAGTAAAACTGGTATCTAGATCTGGGGTTAAATAAAGGTTTTTCTTAGATGCCAGACTAGCAGAGACTGCACAGGCCCTTCTGCTGTCACCTCCACATAAAACATAGCACCCTTTCAAGGAGGGATGAGATACTTAAATTCTCTGCCAGGTATCTCAACCAAAAGCACAGACAATACCCGTTTTCTCACATTGGCACACTGCAGTTATAGCTTCTCATTTTTTATGACAAGCTTTAGCGTACAATAGGGTGCTAGGAAATGTCTATGATGTTCGGCCACATACGGAACAAGTGCTCTGGAACACTTTGTGAACATCTGTTAAGTAACTGTCTGCAACAGAGGGTAACTGAAGTCAGTGGCTCAGATGGTCTCTTCCAACTTGCATTCCTATTCTGAGCAGTGCTGGAAACATGGCAGTACTGGGGGTAACATCAGGCTGGGGCGTGGGAAAGGACTGCATATAACAGGGCTGATATGGGTTGATTTAATTCCCTTGCTTCTCTTTTCTCCTAGCTTCCCCTTCTTTGCTGGAGATATGCAGCGTGCTGGCAGGAGGGCACAAGCTGCCTGAGAACCTGCCAGCCCTTGTCACTGGTATCACTGTCACTGCAAAGAGGCAGCTGGAGGAAGGTCCAGCCTTAGTTACCACCACTCTTTCCTCTCCAGCATGAGAGCTGCTGGGCAAGGGGGAACCGAGCTGTCAAATCTTACTACGCCCCACTACAAGTGCACGCTTCCTCAAAGTAAAGTGCACCGCCTCTGTTTAGAAAAACTGGCCTCGATCTATGCCAGATCCACAGCAGCAAGACCTGATTGAATATGCACATTAACATAAGGTTGTTTTATCAGTACTAGCCCAGAAGACTTTCTTCCAAGCTTGTGCTTCTCTTCATCTCATTTACAGAGAGACAAGAAGCTTCCATTGGATACAAGGTATTTTTAAACAATTCAAACGTGAGCACTGTCATTCAGCACAGCTCCCAGATCCAACACAGTGAGAGAATTCCTTTTCAGCAATTGCAGACCACAAGGAATCAACTTGGCCCATCAAGGAAGGCCATTTCCTGAATTCACACTAG